ATGTAGTTTGCGAAGTGACCTTAGGGTGCAGGTGTTGGGACCTAGGGGAACAGAAGTTCTGAATGTGAAACTGAGAGAACTTCCAGCATCCAAGCCCGTGGATGGAAGAGGAATACAGCAGCATGCAAACCAGATTTCACCGCCTTTAAGATTTTTGCCAAGGGATCACTCCCATTTTCATTCTAATCCCTGTTCTCTGTAGTTCTGAGAAAATGCTGTGGCGTTACCACATTTTGTGGAACTCCCTGCCTAGAATATACAGCACATGTGAAGCGAGGCTGTCTCCCCACACTGTGATAGGCCAGTGATGGCTGTGCAAGTGAACTGAAGGGGAACACAGCAGAACTAGTCTGAAGGAGCAGTCCTCAAAGACACCAAGTCTGCATCACCACCCCGACTAAGCATCTGCAAACATTTTCTGGTAAAAGCCAGGGAGTAAAACATAGGTCTTTGTGATCCCAGAGGCAAAACTGAATGTACTACACAGGTATTTATATAACAAGAAGGGAGAAACAAATTCCACTAAGGTATCATGTGTGAAATTCACACTGTAATATTGCATACTGTCTTTCGTAGAGTGAGTCTAGTGAGAAGAATGCAATTCTGTAGGTGGGGAACAGTAATTCACTTCACTGGGGTTCAGAGTTAGTGTTTCCTGTGATGGAATAGATTGCAAGTCTTCCTTGATAACATTCATTATTAGTTTGCAGGCCTCACAAGAGCAAGTGAGAACCGAATCTTGGATTGACTCCTCTGGTCAGGCCTGGGAACTGACTAGAAATGCATATAATAAGGACCACTCCAAATGCATTAGAAATGAGAAAACTGAGAGTGGCATCACTAACTCGTGTCTTAGCAAGTTCTCCAGGGCATTCTGTTGCATGGGAACATGTAAGATCTACTGGTTTTAAATACATGTTAAAGAACTAGAATTAGCCTCATCCACTGTTTACCATGGTACTAGCCATTTCTCAATCACAGCATTCAGCCCTTTCATCCTATTGCTGTTAATTCCATGAGTCTGGGTGACTATTTATTTATTGTGATGATGCTGGTTATTTGAACAAAAGACCTCAACACATTCTAGGCAAGTGCTCTTCCATTGTACTGTATCCTCAGCTGCTAGCTTTAATATAAACTTACGGGTTTCAGGCAATTCATTTGAGAAAATGGCCCACCTACCCATATACCTGTCCTGAGATTGGTAAAGTAAGAATAGAGAACTGTCAGGAGCCCTGAGGAAACTGCCTCTCAGCAATAATGGGATAAACTCTCAGACATTGTTTTCAGCAGGGAGATCACGGACAGGAGCTATGAACTTTCACTTTTGTAGTTGCTATATCAGAGCTACTTCTCCTAGTGAAAGATAAATAGGAGCTGTTATCTAACTGGATAGCTGGTCTTGGCACTATGATCATTTCCTGCTATTTATGAATAGTATTTCTATAACAAATTCAGCAAGAAATATAAAGACTATCCCCTGAATTGATTCCCTACCTGACTCAACTCTTTTTCTCTAAAACTGTCTCAGCATCTCCAACGATCCAATGGAAATAATCAATAAAATCTCACTTCTGGAATTGTCTTGGGAATAAACTGAAGTCTGTGCCAGTCTCTACCATAGACAAATGCTGAGAATTCTTATTAGGCATTATTATCTTTACTCTAAAAAACCAGGCTGAACATTACTGAGAAGCAGATTTAGATATCAGATAAAAAAAAAAAAAAAAAAAAAAAAAGTGCAGAGAACCCATTATTCATGCAGCATCTCCCCTGGACCTGAACAGACCACTTCCCTATCCTTCTGGCACCTTTTAGACATACTAGATTTTCTGCTAAAATTTCAAATAGTTCTTTAGACCCATTGGACAGGAAGACTCTGTGGACATTTTAAATAGGATTCCATTGGCGTGATGTTCTTGCCACCTTAAGTTCAGAATGCTGAGGTACTTGGAGGTTAGACAGCAGAGATAGGAGCTGGAGGATGTCTACTAAAGGGCTTTGGGAAGCCTTCGGGAGCATCTTCTAGATGTCTGCTATTAAGATCAATTAGGTGGCCCAGGTAACTGAATAAGTCCTAGGAAGTCCTAAGACCCAGACTCAAGTGTGCAAGAGTGGGATTTTTAGAATTATGGGGTAAAACCAGGAGGACTGTAAAAGTGAGAAGAGACACAGTCCCCCAATTCTCATGTTGTTAAATGTTATCTAAAATGAGGAACCCAATGCACTTTGTCCTCTGAGGGAGCTCGGCATCTCCTGTCTTCAGGAATTCTATTCAGAGTCAGAAATGCAGCATGAAAGGTGTGGACCAAAGACCAGCACCAAGGCAGGGAAGGAAGAACTGATGAGAGCACTTTTGGAAGAAGATAGAGCTAGAGGCAGAGGAGAGTTAGGAAACATATCCTGGGACAAATACTCAGCCTTGTGTCTGCTTCAAAAAGCACGGAATAAGAAGACAATTCCTTTTAACTGTTCAGAGACAGAAGGATAAAACAGGAAAAGAAACATTAACGGTTTGAAGAAAACAAAGCCACAGAAAAATTCCATAGAAGGCTCCGAAATACTTTTTTGATTTGTTTGGTTGAGATGGGGTCTTGCTGTGCAACTCAGCTAGACTTCCAAATTTTGATCCTCCTGTCTCAGCTTCCTGAGTGCTAAGATGGAAGACACACACCACCATGCCCAGCATAAAGTACTGTCTTTTAATAATTTTTTTTGTCTAGGTTGTTGGGGCTCAGAGGCAGTTGATCTCTGGCTTTCCTGCCTTCCCATGTCTTGCCCCTCATTCTCCCTCTCAGCAAGGCATAGAAATTAGAGTTCCTTTTCCCCAGGTGAGTCACAGAAACCAGAGCGCCCCTCATCTTCCCCAAGGTCAGCCATAAAGAATATAAATATAACTCTTAACATCCTACTTTTCCTTGTAAGAGTTAGTTATAAAGGAACTTTCTGCCCTACCTGGTTTGACTGTAGGTCCTCAGAGACCCATTCTAGCCCCACAGCTGGAATGGAGGAAAGCTGTGAGGCCGAGAAGACCCAGGATGGGCTTCACAGGCTTCCCACTCAGTCTGTTTCCATTTCTTAGGTATTGGAAACATTTTGAAATATTAAAGATAACAACCCTTTGTGCCTATGTTAACAACTTGCTTTTGAATTTTATTTTGATGGTTATTGACTGAAGTGTTAAAATAATAATGTGGTTATAGACTCCAATACATCTTTTTATGATGTTGGTCTTGGTTTACTGGTAGGTTTACTGGTACTATTCTGAGGTCCAGTATACATTCATGTTCTTTGTAGGCTTGTAGTAGGATAATTATTTTGCTTTTAAATGTTTAATCTATCTGGAATTCATTCTGCAGTGTAGGGATCTATCTTTCCTTTTCTCTTCTTTTCTTATTCACTTTTTGAGATAGGGTTTCAGCTAGGCTGTCCTCAAATTTACAACACTCCTGCTTCAACCTTCCAAGTGTTATAGATTATAGGTCTATGTCACCATGTCCAGATAAAATATGTTTTTAACTGAATAGTTAATGCAGAAAGATTTATTTAAAAATCTTTAGTTCTAAAAAAGTGTCATTATCTATAAATTTTAAATTATCTATATTTTAGCTATGATAATACTAATTATTAAACTTTTATAAAATATATTTGTATATTTTGTCCATTTCTAGGCTTAAAAATAATTGGTTCACAAGATGTTGCAAAGCTGATAGAAAGACTCTGTGCATCTATCCCCCAATATTTCCAGTGATTATATCTTATATAACTAACTCAAATCATAACCAGCAACTGACACCAATACAATGTGTACATCAAGTTTGTATTATTTCATCAATGTGTAGATTTAGTCACCACTGCCAAAACCAATATTCAGAATCATTTCATCATTACAAAGATGCCTTTATTCAGAGTGAAGCACACCTTTCTCCAACCCCATGATCTGTAACCCCCACAATTATCTATCTGTTATCCATCTCTATAACTTTGGAGAATTTTTCTCAAGAGAAATTATACAGTATGAACCATTTGAGATGAACACTTTCAAGTGCTTGAGATTCATCAGTTTATTGGTTATGTCAATTGTTTTTTTTTCTTTTTGTTGTTGGATGGATTTCCACGGTATGAATATATTCCACAGTTTGCTTAATTTTTCCAACTATTGAAAGACATTTTGTCCTTTCCAATTTGGGGCTATTATTATTGTTGTCATAAACAGTATTGTGTGGGGTTTTATATGAATGGAAGTTTTCATTTCTCTAGGAAAAGTCCCAGGAATGTAAATGTTGAGTCATAAAATAACAATATATTTCATTTTCATAAATGTTGGTAAGTGCACCTGTGTCATGCAATGCCTGTGGGGGACAGAAGAGGCTGTTGGATCCCCTAGAATTGGAGTTATGGACAGTTCTTAGCTGTGGGTGCTGGGATTCAATTCCAGGTCTTCTGCAAGAACAGCCAGTGTTCTTAACCGCTGAGCCATCTCTCCAGCCCCATGCTTTGGTTTTAACAGCATTCTTTGCAAAGGTTCTTTTCTTTCTGATGAAACCCAGCTTACCACCATTTCTTCCATGGATTGTGCTTTCAGTCTCCTGATTAAAAATTGCTCAATATGCTCCTTGTCTCAAAGGTTTTCCACTAAAAGTTTAAACATTTTATTTCCTTTTAACGTGGATGTATTTGGCTTACTTATTTTTCACGGTATGAGGCTGATCCAGGTGGTTATGCAAATGGGCTCATTGTCTCTTAATTTATTCAGCATTCTTGTTACTAATTAGTGTCCCATCGATGCATTCTCCCTCCACAGAGCCTTGGCTACTCCTAATTCTTCCCCCCCCCCAACCTTGAACTCACTGGGTATCCTCCTGCCTTCTGAGTGCTGGGGTAATGGACACGTGCTTCAGTCAGTCCTGCTTTTCTTACTCCCTTTGTTAGTTACTTTTACATTGATATGAACAGATACATAACAGAAGCCACTTAAAGAAAGTTTTATTAAGGCTCACAGTACAGAAATATAGTCCATCATGGTGGGGAATGCATGGGGCTGTGGTGGCTCTGTTTGGAATGTGAAGAATGTGAAGCAAAATCTCCTTATATCTTAGTGGATCCAGAAGCAGAGAGCTGTAGACCTGAATAAGTGGCAGGTATAGACTTCAAAGGCCCACCTCCAGGCCCCAGGTACCATAGGGTCAATGATCTATGGAAACAACATCAGAAGTTTTGGATCAATGGGCTCAAACACATGACTCTATGGAGGAATATTTCATATTCAAGTCACTATACCTTCCTATTCCAGCTTCTTCATTTTTTGTTTTTGAGACAGAATCTCATATAACCTAGGCTGGCATCATTTTTGAGGTCACTACACTAAGTTCATGCAGAGATGGAGATTGAGCCCAGGACCCTGCACATACTAGGCAAGCATTCTACAAACCAAGCTACAGTCCCAATACACATTCCTATTCATTTTTAAATATTTATTTGTTTATTTATATTTTAATGTGTATGAGTGTTATGATCACACATATATAAATGCACCTGTGTCATTCAATGCCCATGGAGGACAGAAGGGGACATTAGATCCCCTGGAACTGGAGTTATGGGTGCTGGGATTCAAACCCAGGTCCTCTGCAAGAGCAGCCAGTGTTCTTAACTGCTGAGCCATCTCTGCAGTCCCATATTCTTATTCTTACACACAAATTTAAAGATATTCTATTTCATCAAGACATAATTTATCTAGCATAAAATTAATATATTTATGCATATAATTCCATGGATTTTAGTGTCTTCACAGAGTTTTGTAATCATTAGCACAATTTCATTTTAGAAAATTTTAATCAGTCTAAAAATAAAGCTGATAAGGGAAGAGCAGTGGAGAACCTTTTGCCCATTTGTAAAAGCCTGGAGTAGCAGCTACTGTCCTTAAGGAATGAATGTAAAGAATGAGAGAATTAGAGCTATAAATAGAGGCTGGAGCCATCTTTCCAATCTGGAAGGTCCCTGACATGCAGATCATATTTTTGGCATTGGCATGAACCTAAAGTTCTACTCAACTCCTCAGGCCTCCAGTCCTTGCATCCTGGGAAACAGGACCATGGCAAAGCATGGACCTATGCAATCTTTGCTAGCTACAGGACAGCAGGAAAGATGGGTGATCTTGCCTCTCAGAAATGAACAAGCTGCAATAAGGCCAGTAATACTTCCACTTATGATCTCATGAGTCTGCAGGATCACCATAAACCCCTCAGGTGTATAATTCACATTATGCAGGATCTTGACTCATGTGACTGACAACAAAACCCTAAGAACTAATGCTGCATTTGTTTAGAGGGTGTGAGAAAGGCAGTAACCAGTAAGAAACATCTGATTCTGGGAATTCCTTTGGAAAATAAACACTAGTGATTCAAAAGTATAAGGGAAAAAGAATCTTTGAGTGGGTTAAACAAAGAAAAGGAAAGCCCATGAGCTATATGTGTGAGGAATAACCTCAATCATAGGAAGAAGAGCGGCCTTCCTTCCAGAATCACCCTTCCTTCCAGAATCACAAGGCAATGTTCCTATAGAAGCCTGGGACTCCTACATAGTAGAGGCTGTAGGAGGGACCAGCTGCGAAAGCCTACAGAATTCTTTAGTTTTTGTTTTTATTTTCACTACAATGATGGGAGTTGACTCCAGGACTTTGAATATGATAAATAATCACTCTATCCTAGTATTTTCCTCTAAAAGATTCTACAACTTCCTGGAAGACATTGATGTAAAAGTTAGAAAACCTAACAAATGAACATAGAAATGCTGAACCACCAGAAATGCAAAAATATCGCCAGTGTGTTTGAATTCGCCTCGAGCAAATTGCCTGATTCACATTAAAAAAATACTTGTGAGACTTTTCTTCAAAAGTGGGCTCTAAGTGGATTTATTCATTTCTCAGTTTTAAGACAATACAGGCCTCAAGGTAACTGTCCCTCTGCGGTAGTGAGGTCTTGAATACAAATAACCAAGGGAGGAATTCCCATGGCGATCCTGAGTGTCTGCTTGTTCACTAATGATCAGCAGAAGGGAGTAAGCAGTACTCTAATGTGTGGTAGCACAAAGGAGGTACTGTGGACACATGGAAGGACCAGAAATGATGGCAAAGGATTTGCTTGGATGAAGAAAATGTGCTAGGGGCAGAAAAATGACATGCAGCTAGGGAAAAGGCCAAGTAGCACCTGTGGGGTATTGTCCAGAGAAACAAGCAAGCTAATGAGCTGAAGAAACCTGAAAGGCAGCAGTGCTGAAAGAAGCTAGGAAGCTGAGAAAGCAGGTGGGCTTGCAGCATGACCCCTGAGGTCAATGCTAAGTGGAAAAAGCAAAAATAATGGCTAAAGACAGAGATGCTTACTAGTCTAACCATCATGATAGCTAAGACTATGCTTTAAAAATGCTGCTCTTCCACAATATTGGTGCTCCATAACTAGGTCAAAGTGTTCCATGCTCAGATAGAATGACTGTGGTGACACATTATGGTAGGGGCATGTGTGAGTGTGTTCTTTCATTTTTTATGGGAAAGTGCTGTCAGACACTGGTTCATAGTTGTAATGTTTTCTTCCATAAGAATTTGTTATATGTCTACAGGTGCTTACATTATGATTCTGTTAGATGATTTGTGATTGTATTAGCTTCCCATCCCTGTAACAAATACTTGATATAATCACCTTACAAAAATTGTATAAAGTTTATAAGGGATTCTTGTATAAGTTTTAGAGATTTCGTTCTATGATGGGGTGACACCATTGCTCTAGGCCTGTGGTGACACATTATAGTAGGGACATGTGGTGAGCAAACCATTCACTTCAAGGATGGATGCAAAAGAGAAGAACAGGAAAGGACTTTGATCCCAACATTCCCCCTAGGACACACACTCAAATGATGGAAGGCTCCTCACTAGACCCCACCACTTAAAAATTCCACCCTCTCCTAATAGTTCCACAGGCTGAAAAACCAAGACTTTAACACAGGAGCCCTTGAGAAACACTTACAAAACCATAAGTGGATCAATCAAAAATCATATTAAGAATTTGTTTTAAGGTTCATTCCAAGAACAGTGCTGCAGCTGTGACCCATCCACCTTCCGAAAAAGCTTGGCAATCACTAATCCGAGTACAATACAAACCCGGTAGCTTCTGTGTTTGGAGACCGTAATTTGCCATGCCTTATATAAATCAGTATTTCTAGTTATACTAGAGAAATAGGAAATGTGGCTAAGGAACATTGCATGAATGACATTTTCTTGGTCTCCATGGTTTGCACAGCTGTAAGTAACAATATCAAGTCTTGGAAGACAGGGATGAATCTTTGAAAGGCATCGTTCCTTTAACTGTATCATTCAATACCAACTATTGAACATTATGCACCATTAAAATACTGCATTAATATGTATTGGGTTAAAGAGGTTATACAATGTGCCCTTGGAACTTTTTTGTGGCTGTAGTGGCAAAGAGGCAATCAAATTATCCAGCTTCACTTTCTACATATTTTAAATACACAGGACATTTTCAAGTTTCCACCTTACTGATGAGGTGAAAAGATCACCCAGGATGTAGGTACAAAAGTGATTGTGTTGACATGAATTAGAACCCTGTCTTGCTTAGAGACAGAGACTAACTGGCATTTTAATGTTTCCACAGGTAGGTCACTAGAGATTCTAACAGGAAGTCAGGGAGCCAGCTTCACTGAGGGAGTCCTAGATTTCTAACTTCCTCTGAATGGAGGAGCTCACTTGTGAGTTCAGCTGTGACACAGTGCCAGAGTTATTCCTTCCCTTCCTTTACCAAGTGGAGTGTCTTGTCTTTCAGGTCTCACACTGAGAATAAGCCATTAAACAGATCTGTGTCCTGAGAAGAAAGTTCTTGAAGTAACTGCTACAAATCATGATCTTTCCTTTCTCCTCCCCTGGATTGTGGATTTCTAGTCTTGATCACGTGTATTTATCTCTGTAAATGGGAAAAACATAATTTCCCTGACCAAAAACAAAAACGAAAATGAAAACTACATGGAGTCATAGCACTGATTGGAATCAGAAAGTATAATTTTACTCTCACTGCCTTAATATTAATGTCATCAAAGTCAGGAGTTATGAGCTCCTGGGAGGAATTTGAAGGAAATCTGTGACATAGTCATTTTGTAAGGTAAATGCGTTTGTGATTTATGTGTCTCTCTTGTCTCCTTCCCTCCCTCCATCTTTGCTCTTTCCTTCCCCTTTTTTTAGTCCCATTTTCAAACACAGGTGTTTTGGGGAATGACTTTGGAAAATAATAAACACCAGGAACTAGGAATATCTTGAAATATTTTCTCTGAGTTTTCTGCATATCATCTTCTGACATAACATACCAATATCTTCCCACTATAGGAAGCTTGTAATTACCTTGCTCTGCCTGTTGAGAAGGGATGTTGGCATCTGTGTGCCAGGAAATATTTGTGATGCTTCTCTCATACAATGATACTTCAATCTTTTTCAATATAAAGAAGCCAGCTCAGATTGTTGTCAGTAAGATTTTATAGAAATTCAAAACCAAATTTAGTAGGAAAATTGTGTGCTTTTCCTTTTCAGGGTAAAAACCATTTATCCAAGTATTATACTGAACCCATTTCATTCACTTAACATATCTTTCATTGTTTTGATAAGATCAAAAGTATCCCAAACATCCGTGGATACTGTTCATTGGCATTGTGAATTGAGTGTACACAAATTTCACTATGGGAATTTGTCTATACTCTTCTGCTAGCTCTCTGTACCACCAATGATTATAAACGTATTACAGGTGTTACCATAATGTCATCTAAAACTGTGTGCACTAATAAGTAAATGAGTGATATCCCTTCAAACAGAAGTTTAAGTCCTTGTTGTAGCTGTTTGTATCCTCTGCAGTCTTGAGCTTTAACTACTAAGATTCAATAGTTACATATTCAGAAACAGTCAGTGGAGATTCTAAAACATTGTGAGGGCTCTAGAGACCCATCACTTGAATTCCTAAATAGTGGGGAATCACATGATGGCTCCTCACTGACACTGGTGTGAAATTTAAGGAACCTTAAGAATTCTTCAAATCATGATTGCTCTAGAAGTGTGAGGCATGGGGGATGTGGAGGAGAGAGTAGAAACCAGGCCCCTGCAGGCTGTCTGGGCTTGCTTGGAATTGCAACACAAGTTAAGAAGGCTTTCCATGTTTCATGCTGCATCATATTTCCAGCACCCAGCATGGTGCCGAACACGTAGAGCCTTCCATGTGCACTCACTATCATCGTCACAACCACTCCAGACAGATGTTGAAACTCCCTGGTGATCTTCTGTTTCTTTAAAGTCTTTCATCACATATATGATTCCTTCTCCCCTTACACTGGTTATCAATTACTTTTGGGTGAATCTAGCTAGAAAAAAAATGTTCAAAATACTTTTGAATGTTCCTCTCATTTTCAGCTTTCAGTTCTTGGTAGAATATGTCTCCTTGGGAAAGCCTTCCCTGAATGCCCAGTCTAACTTTTGCTCTCTGACCACCCCTTTTGATCAGTCCCAGAATTTTCTTTTAATTTTTTATGTTTTATTGAGTTTCTGTGCATTTCATGCAATTAATCTTAATCATAGTTAAATCCCCTCCCTCATCCATAATTCCCCATACCCCCCCCACTGGATTTCATGCATTCTGTCATATGTTAAGGCTTATCCTGTCAAGCTTTTGTACCCAAATGTCCCTTGGTGCAAGTTTATCCACTGGAGTCTAGTCAGCCTATCTAGAGTCACTCCCTTAAAGAAGATCAACTCTCCGTCACCCAGCAATCATCACTTGTCAATAGTTCCTTGGCTATGGTTGGGGCCAGTTGCCCATTTCTCCAGCCCTATGTTGGGTTTTTGTCTGATTGAGTTTGCATGGGTCTTGTGCATACTGTCATCATTGCAGCAAGTTCATATGAGCAAGTTCCCAGAAGCCTTTCTTGTAAGACTCATCAAGATTTGAAATCCTCTCACTTGTTTACTTACCCATTAATCCCTGCAGAGGGACTTGTCTTTCCTGGTCCCACTCTATTCCCAGTGCCTGTCATGGTGACTAGAACATGGTAGATGCTCAATAAATATTCCTCAAATGAATAAAACAAGAATTACAATTGTGGTTAAGAAATCACAAGCAGTGCTTAAGAAAATGTTCACTGGATGAATCAAAGACCCACCAACTCAAGTAGTAATCTTGAGATCTTCTGAGTCATTTTTTTTGAAACCTATTTCCTGTTGCGCATCCACAACAGTTCATATCACATTTAATTTTGATAGATTGGGGTTATGAGTTATTATCAGCTCTCAGAAAGACAAACCATCTATCGATAATTGTATAAATTATATAAAACAATATGAACATTAAGACAAGCCTTGTGGAGACAGGTCAAATTAAGCTGTGGGTCTCTTCCTGGCTGCTGCACAGATGAAGCCCTTATTGCAAAGTCCTCGCTGAGCTCAGCTTTGATCTGCTTTCAGGCCTGCCAGGACACTCTAGTTCCCCATCTCAAATCTCAATTATTTTGAAAGGCATTGAATCTAGCTTTGATGGTGTACATAGAAAATGGTAGAAAATTCAGGCGATTTGAGGAAATTGAGTGAACAAAAATGAGCCTACTTGTTATAAAAAACAACTCTGGCAGGTCTGAAATTGGGACCATGTTATTTGTCATGATGAGAAAGAACAGAATGAACGGGACTGAAGACTGAAATGAAGGCAGTCATTGACACCTGCCCTCTGTCTGCAGTGACGGTGGAAGACCCTGTTTGATGTGGGCTAACAAAGGTACTTTAGAGTTCACATTTCTTCTCCTCAGTCTTTGTGATAGGAGCATTTGGGCTTGAACTTCTTGGCTACCTCACAATTGTACTTGACCTTGACACTAGCATGAGTTTCACTCTGGTTTCAAACTGGAAGTTCTTGAAAGTTAATTCTTCAGAGATTCACTTACAGGACCCTGGGAATTGGAAGCTGAGGCAAGTTCAAGTCCCTCTAGCATAGCAGTACTCTCCGGGGAAAGGCTAGAATGCAACACTGTAAGCTCTAATTCCAGGAAACCCCAGGGCTCAGCAAGGCCCAGATGTGGAAATGCTATCCTGGGACTTCAGGGCCCCATCACTCCAGCAAACCTTGTCCTGTGTTTTCTTTCTCTGCCCGTTCTGTTCTCAGGAAACTCTAATGAGCATTAATCCACTGTTGTGTTTCATGTTTTCTGTATTTTCAGCCTTTTTGCTAATCTCCACATACCATGAAAAACCAATGATTCCATCAAGATACATTGAGACTGCCTTGAAGACAAAACATAGGGTTCCCAGTTAAACCCGAATTTCAGAAACACAGAAATATAGGTTATTTAGGGAAGTGTACTATTTTAGATGGTGTTTTTGTTAGGCCTACTGATTCCAACTGCGTGTTCTACATAGTATTTTATTTTCCATTTCTTTGTCATTTTATCTTATGTTATCAACTCACGAAGAGAGTGAAGAAGGAGTAAGGACGAGGAATGGAGGTTTTGTCTTCTCAAGCCAGAGTGAGGATTTCTTTCTTCTCCATGGTATCAATGTCTTCCTCGGTTGGAGAATCTTTTCTATGAAGTCCTCAAACCTCTAATTCACACAGTGTCCTACTGGCTTTTGCAAATTTCTAATTTGCCTGAAGAATGACATGAGTATGAAATATGGACTCTTTAGTAAACTGAAATTAAAGGGCTCAAGTTAATCATAAAATGCCTAAGCTGACAATGAAGAAAGTATTTTTACCCTGAGCCCAGGCTTTCTGGAAAAGCTGTGCCTAGCTCATGTGGACAGGAACAGCTAATTTAGAATGGCTGATCCTGAAACCCCACTTCTGTGAGATAAAGTTCACATGTAGATCCTTGTGAATATGAATGGAGAGTGAGAGGGTCAAACTGGGAGATGTCAAAACCAATATAGACTTAGGTAAGTTCAGTAAGTGTTTACAATGCGCTAAGCATGGGCTTATACCAACTAAACTCATTAAACCTTATCACAACATGCTGTGAGGCAAGTATTTGAATAGTATCCCAATTATGGCTGGGGCACTGAGGCAAGGCAAGATTAAGTGACTGAGTTACTTAACTAAATTAAGTAGTCAGTAGAAGAAACTGGTTCTAGAACCCTCGAAAACTCTGTGAGGGGAAGGGCTGTACAGGGGTGAACGCTGCAGAGTTTCTGGTGTGAACAGGCTGGCTCCTGTGGACATACTCCTGAAATTAAAGGAGGCCTGAGTATATCCACAGCATGCTGTTCTCCCCTCTAGAGAAGTCCAGATGTGCAGGAGCCCAGAAAGGCCCAGGTAGATGAAATGATAAAGGCAAGTATGAAATCAAGGCAAGTGGAATTATGAAAATGAATTATAGATGTGAGGTCTCTTTTTAAAAGTAAATGAAAGGTTGCAGATCAGAGTTTAATGCAACTGAACTATGCTAGTCTTTCCCCTCTTCTTGTAGTCCCCAAGGTATTCTCAGAGCTATCACATTCTCAAAATGCTGTACATAGTTCTAAGATCCAGAGACATTGGTAAATGAGGTGGAATTGGTCCCTCAGTCTTCTGCAGGAAGGAAATTGTGTCCGCTAACCTCAGAAATCAATCATACTGAAATACCCAGTGAAATGAGAGAGGGGGGAAATCCTCCAGAAGGGCCAAGAGTATTGCTATATCCTTAAAAATACCGTGACATAACTGGAAAAGGTCTGGGAATATCAGGTGATAGTGTATTCCTGAGGGGATAAAAGACTCCACTGCAAACAGATCTGTTTGATCTCCTCTGACACCCTGAGCTGAAAACAAAGAAAATGACTGAATGCAATAACATTACTGTTAAATAGAACAACCCAAAGTACCAAAAGAGCTCAGTTTGGAAGGGAGCTTTTGAATAATAAACCATAAATTTTGTTACCGTCATCAACATAAGAAAAAGCTAGCTATGTCCCATGGCCCCTGTATCTAGTTTGTCTAGGAAAAATATTTTTTTCTTCTCCAAATCCCTCAAAGGAGTACTAACTGTGCACTTGATGGCTATAATTTATGCAGCATGTAAAACTATGAATTGCTTAATCCACCTAAAGTCCTTATGAAGTTCTTCAATATTGTTGCTGTTTATAGCCCAGCAAACAGAGGGTGGGAGTTTGCCACCTTTGGCCCTTGGCACCAGCTCTGTAATGAAATGGAGCCACAGGTCTGATCTTCATACAAAATACCAGATCATTATCACGATTCAAAAAATCTAGGAATTCTGAGCCAAAAAGGTTTTAGCAAACAACTAGACCTAGTTATTTCTTCTTTGAGGTGATTTCCCTAAAAGGAAGTATTCCAGTGTGGAATCTGAAACTTTCCCTTTATTATCACTGGTTTTCTAATACTCTGGGAATGAGCAGAAGTAGGTGAAAAGAAGTAGGTTTGGAGCTCTGATCACATTTCAGGTCCATTATGTGCTGGAAAAGGTAGCAGAGGCCACCTTTCACTTATGCAGGTGAGGGCTGCCTGTAGGACACACTTCTTAGTTCTTTCCATCGCCCCACCTCACTGACCACTATTCACTGACTATTAGTCACACCTACATTATCTACCCTGTACCTTTTGTATCTTTATTGTTCTTCTGGCAAAGTGTGTGCTCTTCGAATGCTGTATATATTGGGAGCAACCTGGGACTGGATCTGTGGGCACTAGAGTCCTCCTGTGTGGGTTTCTTGCACCCCCCCCAAACAGCAAACACCACCCTCCCAGCCACCACCAAAATATTCTTCCCTGGATGCCAAATTTCAGATAGTATTTGCTTTATCTGCTCTTCTGTTCCTCTCCTCCTGAATCCTGGACGGATCATTTACATAAGTAATTAAAGCCTTCTTGCTTTCTCAATATTCCATGCGGAAATTCACTTGGAAATCCTCTTTTCCCTGTCATTTTTTACCTTACAGGTGAGAGAGAGATGAGCAAGATATCATAAGGAAGCAGGAGATCTCTCTCTCTCTCTTTTTCTTGAGTTCTCTCTCTCTCTCTCTCTCTCTCTCTCTCTCTCTCTCTCTCTGTTCACTTTTCTCATTTTCAAATGACATAGGGAATTCGGACATCCTCCCCACCCCCACCTCTCCTGTTGGATGCTAAACCTGATTCCTGGAGAATTAGTTTTCCTCTGAAGGCTTAGTTTACCTCACTGACTAGGAACAGCATCGCCCAATAGATCCTAATCTCAGATGGGCCCCAACTGCCGGCGTCCAGGGGAGCCTCTGAGGTCCCATAAAGCCTGACACAACGCCCAGCTCCGCTGTGATAGCATCAGACAGACAGGCTTCCAGAGTTCCGTGGTGCGCCCAGCTCCTCCAGGCTCCGCCCCGCCCGGGCCTGGGTTCGCCAGGGGACAACTTACTGTGTTCCTAGGGCGTCCACACTGCAAACTCCCAAGTGGGAGAGGGGAAAGACGAGGCTGTGTAACGTGGAAGAGTAGAGGCGACAAAAGAAGAGAGAGCAGAGGGACAGGGCTCAAGACACAGGGCCTGGACGGGACACTACTGCCTGGCTCCAGGGAGAGCATTCATTCCTCAAATGCTAATGGAGGAACTCCCTGGGAGGGGCTGGTCTTTCTTTGATCGTCTCTGCCTTGCTGTTCAGACAGGTAGTTAGAATAAAAGGGAAGCTGACAACGAAGGCCCGCAGCAGTCCCTGGGCACCTAGCGCCCTGCCCTGCGCGATCGCTCACTGTCCTGGCCACAGCGTGCGGTGCAGGTGTTGTCTCCCAATGCCGCCCTCCTCCGAAGGGAAGTGGGGACCCGGCGCTTCCGAAGGGACGCGCAACGGGCTGGAGGGGAGGCGGGGAGGGGAGCGGGGGTGTGGGGGAAGCGAGGCGGGGGGCGGGTGCGCCCCTGGGCGCTGAGTTGGGCCGGGTACCGACTGCCATCCTGCAGCAATTTCCCTGTGTCATGGCTCCGGTCTCTTAGCAACAGCCACCAGTCCGGCCGCCCAGAGCAGCAGCCGCGGGCTCAACTCCACCCGGAGGAGCCCGGCGCGCCGCAGCCACACAAAAGAGCGCCAGGCTGGGGAGCGCGCGGCCGCAGGGGCCGGCCCGAGAACGCGGCGCGAGGGATGCGAGCCGGAGCTGGCGCACCCGAGGGAGAAGGGCTCCGAGACGGCGCGCGGGCTACGGAGGACTGACACTTCTTGCAAACTCTTGGAAATGGCTCCCGCCACCGCGTCGGAGAGCGCAGCGAGCCCGGGGCGAACGCTCGCCCCTGCTGGGCTGTGGAGCGGCGCTCGCGCCCGGAGCCCCGAGGCGCTGTCCCTGCGCTCCGCCGTCGGCTCTAGCTGAAAAGTTTCTCCATGCTTCCTTTGTGTTGCCCGAGCGCCCAGTCGCTGGCCCCGAGCTGCCCGGGTCTCCCTGGGTAAGTGAGCGATTATTGTTTGTAGAGTGCCTCCATTTTGAGCAATTCTATCAATCCCCAGCCTCTGAGCACCCCTTCCCAACCCTCCAATTCCTGAGCTCCGGCCCCTTGGCGGGTGTTCGGGGCCAGGTGTTCTCCTGGGCGGGCTACCAGGGCTGCGCTGCCCAGAAAAAGCGAGTTGGGGTTTGCCCTCCCTTCCCTCCTGTTCTCCCTCCAGAGGCGGACTCGCAGCTGCACTCATGTGACTAGACCAAGGCTAGGGCAAGGGATGCGCGGCCCTGCAGGCGAGGGGCCGGGCGGGGGTCCTGGACCTGAGCTGGGTACGGGGCACAGCATGGCGCGCAGCCGAGGACTCAGAGCCTCTGACGCCCGAGCGGGGCGCAATCCATCACGAGCGGAGAACTTGAATGTCTCTTGGAAGCAGTTGTATTTTTAGACATCTCTCCTTTGCTTTCCCCATCCTCCATTCCTTAACCGCCTCAGGACCCGCGCCAGGCAGTTGCGAAGGCAGCCGACCTCCACCGCTAAGTTTGTTTTCTTTCCTAGCGTCTAAGGAACGCCTTTTCAAAGGCTGCTCTTTTGGGGCACCTAACCTTTGTCAGTATTCCAAGTCATGGTGATAAGTGGTAAAGGAGTTCAGCTTTCAAGAGAGCTGAAAGCACAAAGTAGGGAGCTAATTACTAGCTAGTAACCTAATTTTAAAGATCTTCTGAAAACGATTGTTGAAATCCATTCCAGCCTTCCTTATATTCTGCTGGCTCCAAAGCTGGCTTGCAGAGCAGAAATACAAAGGGGTGCCTTCTTCCTGCAAGTCACCCAGCATCCTGGTGCACCCTATCAATGCCCAACAAAACAGCCCATCTCTCTTGGGAGAGCCACCCTGTAGACTGACTCTGGCTTTTCATGTAAGATGTCTGGACCATAAAGACTTCTGAAGATAACCCAGACTTTCAGGTTATTAATGCTACTAGAGCCTTAAACACTTAAAACAACAGTATCTATGTTGCAGCTACATAATAAATATAACTATGGGGGAGGGCAGTAAGTATCTCTCATATATGCGATGTTTATACTTACTGGTGCAGCACCTTTTTAAACAAAATGTAAAGGGTTTATAGATGCAATCTCTCTATTGCCCCCCCAACCCACCTAGTATTTCCATTTATTGAACTCCAACTAAGTTCCAAAGCAATATCAATTTGCAAACAGTGTAAAGAGCTGGTTACCATTTGCTTGTCTGTATGGAGAAAAGAGTCTGTCTCTGTTGGTATAATGAAAGGAATTAAGGGCCAGAGCTATTCACCCAAGCACCAATTAAAAGCAAAATTCTACCTAAGTAACCACACATTTTCAAAGGGTAATTTATTCTACTACATGGGTTATCTTAGAAAGAATAACATACTCAAGGCCTTTGAGTGACATCTGTATCTTTAAGATCTGTGCGATGCCCTTAATTTTAGCATCTTTATTACAGGAGGGAACACAAACAGTGGAATAGAGAATGCTTTACTCTAAGGATCCAGCAGGACTGGAATTTTAACAGCTGACAGATAACCACGATGGGCACATGTGATTGTACCTACTTAGACTGTATTGTCAACAACCAAATGAGCTTCCCAAGGTTAGGCCATTGTTGCCCCTCCTCTTCCCCAAAATGTCCTCCAGAGAAAAGGATAAAGAAAGCAGCTTTTGCTTGGGGAAATGCTACCCTATAAATCATCATTATTGTAGACTGCTTAACCTAGATAATTCCCTATTCATTTGAGTATTGGGATTCTGTAGCATGTGGTTGGCACAATTAGTAAAGGGTCAGAAAACTATCGTGGCAGAGTTTTCCGGGGTTTTGATGGTTTTAGTATTATCATTTTCCCACATTAAAAAAAGACCTGTCTTAGGAAGAGTCCCAGTGACTCCTCAGATTCCCTGATGAAATCTAGCACAGGATACTAGATTTAAAGGGAGTTCCTCTGGGGAAGGACAGAAGGAAGTGCTCAGTTACATAACAGTTACCTAAAACTAAATATTCCACACCAAGAAGCTGTCCAGATGTTGCCAAGTGGAGATTTGAAAACTGCAAAAGGGATCTGCTTGCATTTTGCCTTAGGATCAGAGTAGGTAAGAGGCAACTTTTTGAAGAGATTTGTTGTCAATCTTGTAGTTTGTGTATCTGAGATTTAGTCTGTAATGAACCCTATCAGTTATCTGAAGTAACTAAGCCATCTTCCTACCAGGGTATGAACTCTCACTTTCATCCAGCACAATGAATTCCTTTCTTTTTAAACACTAGTAACTTCCATGACTGATTAGTGCTTTGGTCCCTACTTGGGCAAATTTCTGGCTCAGTAAGAGACCTGATACTCTCAAGGCCCCTTCCTTGGGAAACTTTTCATTTCATGAGATAAAGGGAAAGAAAAGCTATTATTAAGAAAGACCTCAACCACCACTTTGAGTCTCCACATTGAGTTTATATGATGGTTGGAATTCCACTGGCTGTCATTCAAGAGGGGCTGAGGTCAACAATGGTGGAGAGGACCCATGGAGAGTAATGGGGTGATGAGTTGGGGAGAAGTAGAAAACTTCTCTTAAATTGTTTCACCACCACCTTTCCCTTTCCTGATACATGCCCACCTCTGGTCTCTGTACTCAGCACTTGGATTAGTGGGCAAAGACCTTGGAGTGGGGGTGGAGGCACACCTAGAGATGGTTCTAGGATCCGGGCAATCAAGGCCAGTGGCATGTTGCTGCAGTCAAACCTGCACCTCTGACTATCTTCCTCTGCTTTGCTGCAGGAGGTGACCAAGCAGCTAGTGGGCAGCAGGCGCTCCCCCTACACACGCCTCGGCCCCAGTCCTACTGGCTAGGCACGCACCCCACCAACCACCATGATCGCCACCGGTGGTCTCCTGAGGATTTCCGCCAGAAAGCAGGATCCCCTCCGACCCCCCAACCAGGTCCCTAAGCACAAGAGGAAAGCCAAGAAGAGGCGCAAGAACGATGTGGTTGTGGTGAAAGGCAAGCTCAAGCTGTGCTCCATCTCGGGGTTCATCGCCCTCTGTGGGATCCTAGTGCTGCTGGTGGGCATAGCCTTGGCGGTGGTGGGCTACTGGCCCAAGCCCAACGTGGCCAACAGGGAGGGGAGCAAGCAGCTACTACCCGCGGGCAGTGGCTATCGCTTCACCAGCATTGCCAACAGCAGCAGCAGTGGCAGCAAAAACCCGACCAGGAGCTACGAGGGGACCCCGGGGGGTGTCAACTCCAGTTCGATGGGGGCGCCCAGGAGCACGCCTCCCGCAAGATCTGCAGCCGCGTCTTCATCCTCTACATCCGTGGGCTTCTTCTTCCGCGTCTTCTCTGGCTACCTGCACTCGGACAAGCTCAAGGTCTTTGGGCCCCTCATTATGGGCATTGGCATCTTCCTCTTCATCTGTGCCAACGCGGTGCTCCATGAGAACAGGGACAAGAAGACCAAGATCATCAACCTGCGGGACCTCTACTCCACGGTCATCGACGTGCACAGTCTCCGAGCCAAAGACCTGGCAGCGGCTGCAGCCGCCGCCGCCGCCGCCGCTGCCTCCTCCTCGTCCTCAGCCCCGGGCTCGGCGCCCCCCGGGGCGACCCCTCTCAATGGCTTCCTCAGCTACGTGCAGTCGCGGGGCCTGCAGCTGAAGCCTGGCAGCTGCGCAGGGACTGCAGACGCCTTCGGGGCGGCGGCGCTGCTGGCCAGGGGCTCGTGGCCCCACCCCGCCGCGCTGGGCGGGGGCGCGAGCGGGACTCGGGGCGCGGGATCCCCACCTGACCTGGCCTCGTCTCCGCGTTGTCCGAGGGAGCCCCCGAGTCTGGCGGAGGCGGTGTACAGCATCTACAGCGAGAGCTCTGGCGAGGCTGGCCGTCGCCGGACCACAGTCGCCGCGGTGGCAGCTGCCGCCACCAATGTCACCGCGGCTACCAGCGGCGGCAGCAGCCCAGCCCCCTGCAGCCCAACCGCGAGTTGGGGGCGTCAGAGCACCGCCAGCTCCCTCGTGGGCTCCTCGCTGAGCGCCTTCGCCTTGCTGCCCTTGCAAGGGGACCGGGACAGGGACGGGGACGCGGAGGGCGCGAGCTGCAGCTGGCAGAGGCCGCCCGGGGAACGCGGGTCTCAGGATCTCCCGCAGGGAGAGCTGGACCTGAGCGTGACCGACCTCCGCGGCGCCGAGGGCGGAGCGCACTGGGCGCCGGGCGAACTAGAGGAGCCCGAGGGCGCGGGGACAGTGCTCACCGCCAGGGGGCAGGGCGGCCGCCTGCCCAGGACCGGCAGGTCCACCGCCTGGCGACGCCGCAGCATCAGCGGGCTCCGGGACTACCGGGTGCCGCCGTCGCAGGAACCCGCGTCCTCCCCTTGCGCGAAGGACCTGGACTCCAGCCCTCTGGACAGAGCCGCCTCTCCCTCGCTTCCTCTGCGACTGGAGGACTCGCCCCCCGCCCCGCGCGACTCGCAGAGCTTGCAGTCGGATGATCCATCCAGCAGCAATAAGGGCTACATCCCCCTAAGGGAGGCAGACACCTCGGCGGAGTCGGTCGTGGACGCAGTAGCCAGTACCAGGCTAGATCGTGCGGATACCACTGCTTCGGGCACGGAGCAGAGCCGCTCAGAGGATCTTAGTCAAGAGCCCAGTAGGGCAGAGCAGCCTCTGTCTTTGCAGAGGCAGTTTACAAACAAGGAGAAACTCTTCATGATTTCTAGGTCTCATGCCACAGGAGTAGAAGACGGAGAACTGGAAAGCTCTGGCACTTAGGGGAAGGGGTGCAGGGAAAGGAGAGAGAAGATGAGAGGGGGTTCCCCCTTGGAATCCGTGCATTATGCCCCTGTGGACAGGTCCAAGGAAACCATTCAATATCCAAAGAGCTGCAGAATGTTATCCTTGAATTGTGTTCACAAGGTTCCTGTAGATAACTCCAAGCAATTTTTTTAAAAGCAAACTAGTCTTTTTATGTCCGATGGTGATTGTATGTTCCATGAAAACCAAATGTATTAACAGGTCAGCAATCTAGTTCATTAGATAAAATTCTCTTAATTTTCTTAGGATCAAAATAATATATTTTTGAAAGTAACTGTGCACTTTACTCCAGTTTTTCTTTGATCCCCGTTTCCTCTCGTCCCTGTACTCTGCTGCTGGCTTTGTCTATAGCTGCTTGTGAATGAACAACAAGCCTTTTATTTCAAAATATTTCTTTTTCGGAGCCTAGAAGAGTTGGACTCAGTTATTGTAGAATTGATCTTTCTAGATAAAGTCAAAGCCCAAAGCATGAGGATTTCAGGGAAAGAGTGCTTTCCTTATCCCACCCCACTCTGCTCCTACAACTGTCCAAAAGACTCTATTTTTTAAAAGGATTCTTGCATTTTGATACCAGGGTATGTTGAGACTGGAGGTGGGCAGGAACCAGATGAACTGTTACATTCCTGAATTCACAATATCAAGAACACCATGCTTTATTGAGTATTATCACACCTGTATGGAAAATAGCATTAATATTTAAAATTTTTTTTAATAAAAGAAGTTTCCAAATGGTTAAACATAACATTGTCTCATTTTGCCTGAGAACTAATGATTCTAGAACACAGTAAACAGTTAACAATTTGGTAAATCTAAAATATTTTGTGGTGACCTTGGTAGCATGACTTATAGTCACCTTCTCCCAAAGCATTATATGTCAGTAAAGACATGAGAGCCTCAATGGATTTCCGGTGTGTTTAACTTTAAAATGTAAGGTACTTAACACTTGGGAGTATCTCTTTTAAGCAGAATGAATATTTAAACAAATAGTATTTTTCAATAATACTTCCAATTAATCTCAAAGAGGTGCTAAGGTTAATAATTCCCTTCCCATCCATGTTTCTCTATTTGATCTTGACTTTATGTTCATGGTCTTGAATTCACGACTGATATAAGCCAAACAGTAGTGTTAAAATAATTTGGGAAATAGTTTACACTTCATCAGTTTTCAAGGACAGAAGAGAATCACAGTTCTGATCCCTCTTCTTTTGAGTGTGACCTGAAGGTTTGGAGAATGGTATTGCTTTCTTTTGGTCATTAAGACATTTTTTTTTTAATGCAACAGAGACTTTCATTGCAGAAGATGAAAACTGGTTTTAAAGGAAACCTAGTGAAAGATGTGATCACATTGGTCCTCATGAGTGAAAAAGTCAGTCCACAGAAGGTGTACAGATTTAGGACAGAATGGACCCCAGCTCTTGGTATAGCTGTGATCTTTATAACACCATATAAATGCTAGGCTTCCACCATCAGATCTGTAAACTGAGGAAAAGAAGACATATGCCATAAGGCTCTAATCAGACTCAGGCAAAGCAGGGAGGAAAGAAGGGTGAGTGTAGCATCTCACTGAGTTCCTGCCCAGGAGACTTAACTAATGGTGGCTATTGTCATTATTTGGTCATTGTGATTTTTCTTCTGCTTGCAGCTGTAGAAGAGCAGGCCTCCTTCACAATCTGGGATAGTCACTCATTATCTGTATAGCCACAGGCAAAGCATTTAATCCCTCTGGGCCTCTGGAGAATGATGTAATCTCTGTGATCCTCTTCAGCTCTAAAAGCTTAAATTCAGGGTATTGAATTTATCCTGGATACAATCATATATTTGTACATACAACTTAGCAAAGAGTGATATATTATATAAGCTTGAGTGTAGCTTTCTGCAATAAATTTTGAAAAGACCTAATGTTTTCCTCAGATTATATGTGAATTAAGATAATAACTCAATTTAACTCTCTGGATTAATTTATTGAACTTGTTACAGAGTATACATGAGTTTCCAACTAATAAGAGTGACAAGCAAGTGTAATAAGACCCCCAAGTAACATTCAATTTCAACAAACCTAATTTGGTTATCACATATCCCTTCTCCCCCCAAAAGCCAAACTTCCACACACCCCCATTGTTTTACATGCTAGGTAATTTCTCCTCTGAGAGGGTATGTAATTTATAAGGAAAAATGGGTTCTGACTTTCCACAATACTGTTGCCTCAAAAAATGCAACATAATGGCATTTGGCAAATTAGAAAGCTACTGTCTCTTAGCTTAACTGAAGAAGAGTGGATAGTATAAAATTTATCCCTTCCACACTAGAAAATTCAGCCTAAACAACTGGCTGTACTTACTGCCTAATTATATTGATCAGATTTTAAAAACAGTAATTGCTCATGTTAAATCACTTAATAAAACAAATCAATATCAAGCTAGCTCAATATCAAGCTAATCATATCTATCTTAATCCTTGGACAAGTAAACCAAATTCTTAGACATTTTTTTTAACCTAAGGATATAAAAGAGTGAGCTAATCTTTCTCAGTCTTGGGAAAAGTATGGAATTTCTTGGCTTCAGGAGAATTCTCTGTATGTACTATAGTCATTCACAGTCTCAGTGTTCACAGGAGGAATCCGAAATAATAATACAATCTAGGCTTACCATTTACTCTGGGCCATATATTGGTCTACCAGCTTCATGCATGTATCATTGAGTCTGTACAGCAATTCTCTGAGGTAGGACTATTACAATACTCCTTCACAGAGAAACATGATGAGGTCAGAGGGCTAGAGTATTTGCCCAGGGCTGCACAGCTGGTAAATGGTGGGGGTAGAGGCTTTCAGAATTTCAATGAAAATTTGGACCTGCTAGTAGATGCTGGCAGGCAATTAGAAATTCTACAGACTTTCATTTCTTTCTACCTCCTTTGCTTCCTACTAGATCCCTTTGCAAAGCCATGGATAGAAGTATGCAGAGAAATGTTAGAATTATAGTCAGATGTGTAACTGGAGTTTGCGTTTTAGTACTCAGATTGGCATAAATGGATCTGTGTAATTTTTCAGGGATCTTTGCACACAATCAAAAAGGGTACTTGAAGGGACCTTACTGATCATGGAATTCCCCATCTTTTACTTATCAATAAGACTGGGAAGATTTAGAAAATGGATCAACTTGTTCAGAGGCGAACATCAGAGGCAGAACTCTTGTATTATAATAATTGCAGTAATTAGAAGAGGGCTTTTTTTCTCTCTTTGAATTTCTGTCCTGTATAAAGCGGGTGACCATCATCAAATTATTCAGTCTCTGTCTCAGCTTTGCTTTTTATACAGTAGGAATAAAAATGGGACCTACCTCAAATAGATGGAGTAATGATAAAGAGATTAATGTATGTATAAAGTGCTTATAACAGGCTTGGCATGTAGACAGTGCTATAAAAGTTGTATTTGTTTTATTTCAAATAGAATCAACTAATAAGTAGACTTATTTCATATGGTCTTCATTTTTATTCACAGAATAATTTTATCTTTAAAAGTCCGTTGTGTAAAGCAGAGTGTAAAGAGCATGGTTTCTCAAAGTGTGACTTCTAGGGGTTATATAACACTGCCTGGGTTTCTGAGTCTATTAAATAGCAATAATAAATAGCATTTGACTCATAGAATTACTTATTCAAGTGAGGGCTAAATAAACTAATATGCTTAAAAGACTTAGAACAATTCTTGGCACACAAAAATTCTGTAAATGTTAACCACTATTATTAAGGCAAAATTCAGAAAAGTAATTAGTATGCTAAATTTATTACTCAGTTGTTAAGGACAACCACAAATTTACTGTACTGAAAAATCTTAATAACTTAAGTATATTAGAAAAAATAGTTGAGCCGAAGACTTGAACAATGCTCCCTGGCAGAACATAGAACTAGCAAAACTGGGTGTAGGTTCCTTGTGGCATAGGACCTTACATAACAGTGGAGGAGTACCAAAGCCATCACTTGACTCTATTCAGCTGCCATGTTCCCCTTTTCATTTATGGAAGCTGGTCACATCAGAAAGGCCAGCAAGCCCGAGTCCCAATACCTGTCTCTCAGAAAGACCCACAGTATCTCTGCTCAGGTGCTCTGTCAAGTTTTCTAAATTGTCCACACAAAGCATGTTCTCTGTAACCTTTTTGTTACTATGGGTTTCTCACAAATATGATTTTTAGAATTTTTTTGAGTTAAAGAACTTAAAATCCTCTAATAAAATAAAATCAATACAAATTACATGAATTTGTATTTAATTATAACAGTATTTTGCCAAGATATAAAAAATTTTACTTTAATTTAGAAATAAGATCTTGTATTAATGGTTGTAGCGTAAGGTAGAGATTTTCCTCATGTACAACAAATAAAATATAAGAGTAAGATTTACTGACTTCTTTCATGTAGAATGAAGATTTTTATTATAGAAATCTAGAATTAAAATTTGAACAGTTAGGCTATTATTGAATGACTATAACACTGAAAACATTCTGACTTTTTCTTTTCCTTTCTAGGGGATCATCTTTGAGGGTTTCTTTTTCTTCCTTTAAAATGGATGTGTTTCTTTAAATGGATATTATGGTATTTTTTTATTAAATCATCACAAATTAGACAGTCCAGCTTTAGTCAAACAGCTTTCTGCCACTCTCCAAAGGCCAAAGGCCAGATGAAGTTCATATTTACTGTGCACCACCAGTCTGTCCATCATGATGTCAGAAAAGTGCTGGGCTAGTGTTGGGTCCAGCCAGGCTTGAAGCAAGCCAGGAGTTAACAGTGCCTACTACCCTGGTGATCTAGCTGTTTTCCCTAGAGCCAGAGACCCTTTAGTGCATCTACTGTCTGAGAATGCATTGTTATTCAATTTTAAGGGACCTTCTGCCTGACCTCCTCACTAAAGCTAGCTATGCTATGGGCCTGCATGACAACTGGGACGTTGATTCAATACCAAGATAATACATTGCCTTTAAAGACTGGAAAACTTACTTATGTGTACATGGAATATCACAAAGCATGTGTCTGCTTTCATAGCTGTGCTTCTGATCCCACATTGTGATCAAGTCCCAATGAGGTCAGGAAAACTGACTGTTAACAACAAGGGGAAAAGCCAGTGGCCAGGCTCATGTGTGGAAAAGAAAGAGGATCCTGTGGAAAGACAACACAGATGAAGTCGGGCTAGCATCTCTAGGAATGTTATTGTCTCCTAAAAAAGCGACTGGTTACTCTGCTTTTCATAGTGCTTTGTGTGCAGACAAGAGTCTTAGAATGAAAATGTACAATTGTTTCTATTCCTTAGAAAATATTCTTTGAGCAAATGCATGACTTTGTATATTTCTCAATATTTAAGAAATTCAACACAACATTGTGTTACTGACATGAACCCATTTAATATTAAACATCTGATAATGTTTAATAGCTGATATGAAACTTATAGCCAAATTTATAGGTCATTGGGTTTTTTTTCTTTATTATTTTTATTTTATCTGTATGAGTGTATTGCCTGCATGTATGTGAGTGCACCTGTGTCATGCAATGCCACAGAGGTCAGAAGAGGGCTTCGGATTCCCCTGGAACTGGAGTTAAGGATGGTTCATAGCCTCCATATGGGTGCTGGGAATTGAACTCCGGTCCTCTGCAAGAGCAGTCAGTGCTCTTAACCACTGAGCCATCTCTCCAGCCCCAGGTAATTGTTTTTAAGTAGAGAAACTCAA